TGACAGCCTAATCTCCAGCCCTTCACTCTTGAGCTTCAAATTATGTTAACTATCACCGCAAGCTTCAAGAGTCAACTTGACAGCAAGTTGCACAATGACAAACTCTTCATTGGGCCATTGAGTTGATCTGACTCAAAGCAGCTCCGTAGACAACAGGATGACCCTCCGCCCCCTGTTCTGTTGGAGCTCCTGCTGCAGCTGCTGTGTCTGTCTGTCTGCTTGAGGACCTTCCTTTCGTTCAGGGACTCTCTACCGTACCCAACATGATGTCCTTCTCTAGGGACTGGTCCCTCCTGCCAATGTGTCCAAAGTAGTTGAGCTAATAGATAGCTATTCTCTAGTCTCTCATTGCTTTAAAAAAGAAAAGAAAAAGGGTTGAACTGCCCTAATAAGGTTCCTGAGGCTGTCAATCTTGATAGAAGAGATCAAATGAGGCACTGCATTCGATAACTGGTGCAGCAGACCTCTAAACTGTTGAAAAGCCAGGAGCTCACTTTGGGTCATGGTAGTTTCAGTCATCGCCTGTGCATGTGAAAGTTGGGCATCGACTAAGGAAAACGGAAGAACAATCGATGTGTTTGAACAATGGTGCTGGCAAAGGGCCACAGACCGCCAAAAGAACATGCACATCTGCCCTGGAAGCAGTACAGCCAGAACGCTCCTGAGGGGCCAGGATGGAGAGACTTGGTCTCATGTATTTTGGACATAATGTCAGGAGAGACCAGGCCCTGGAGAAGGACATCATGCTTGGGAAAGTAGCAGGGCAGCAAAAAAGAGGAAGGCCTTTGACCAGATGGATGGACACAGTGGCTGCCACCGTGGGCTCAAACATCAGAGCAATTGAGAGGAAGGCACAGGACTGGGCAGTGTTTCGTTCTGTTGTGTCCGGGGGTCCCTATGGGTCGGAACCAACTGGAAGGCATTTAAAAACAACAGATCTTAATAGAAGCAAGCTGCCACATCTTTCTCCTGTGGGCTGCTTGGTGGATTTAAACCCTCCATCTTCCTAGTAAGCAGCCAAGCTAGTAACCATGTGCCACCAGGGCTCCATTAGTTGCTTCTAATCAGGAGAAGCTCAAGAGGATGAAGCCCAACCAAGCAAGGCCAAGCAGGGTCCCGCTGACTTGACTAGCCTTCATCCCAGCTGCCTCCTGAGCTCTTGGGCCAACAATAATTAGCTATCCCTGCAAGGAACTGGGACGGGGTTTGGTATACAATATCGATTTAACTAAGTATGTCTTCAGTGACCACATGCTGCAAGAGATCAGCTGTCCCCGTCAAACCCTCCCAGGGAGGGAGGTCTGCACACACATCTGGAACAAGAGCTGGAGTAGTTCTTGCTCCAGACGCATGCGGTGTGGAAATGCCGCGGGCCTGGCTGTGGCTGTAAGAAACCCATCTCTCTTTCTCTCCCTTAGTCACGCAGCAAATGTTACTGGGGCATAGTGTGTGCCAGGCCCCAGTCTAGGGGCTGGTGATAGAGGGGGCAACAAGAGATGCACTATCTGTGCTGTGTGTGTGTGTGTACATGGTTTTAATGGCTGTATAATTTACACAAGGGCCCCAAGTAGTATACTGGATAGGGCTCAGCTGCTAACTGGAAGCTGCTAGGTGGGAGCACCATGAGGAGTCTGTTGCCATAAAGGTTACAGCCCTTCTCAGGATCCTGATTTGGGAGTCACTGGCCATTGGTTCTAATATCTTGCTTTGAGGGTGCCCAACAAGTGACAATCCAAACAAACAAACAAACAAAAAGACACTTGCTGTTTTCATACCCTCTGTGCTTTCTTGTGCCAGCCCAGCCGGCCTAGTTCTGTCCTCATGAATGAGCATTCTTGGAAGGTTTGCCCGATCTCTTGTGCAGCAGATTTACCCAGTGCAATGGGTCATTCCATCTCTTGACTGCTGCTTCCATGAGCACTGTTTATGGATCCAAACAAGATGAAATCCTTGACAACTTCAATCTTTCCTGGGTTTATCATGATGTTACTACTTACTGGTCCAGTTGTGAGGATTGGGGTCTTCTTTACATTGAGATGCAATCTTTGATCTTCAAAGATCGGCTCTATGGAAAACAACTTCCCATTTGCAAGCAAACTGCAGCTGTGTTTCAACATCATCCTTAGAACACATTAGTAGACCAGGGGCCCACTCGTGGGCAGGAGAAGGCCAAGAGCTAATGGGAATTGAATTCAAAGTATCTGCCAGTAGAAATAGGAGGGGATTCAAAAGACTCCTGGGGAAATCCCATGTTCTTTTCATTCATTCTGGTTACCCACAGACTTTTTAACGCCCCCTTGTACTTTTTCAAGTCCCCTAGGTATTCCTGGCAGTGTAATGGAATTGATGCCATTTTCAAGAGGAGGAAGCCAGCTTATCGACCAGCAGGGGGCCTAGAATGTTAGAGTACCAACCTGGACTTAGGCCTGAGCTGGGTCCTGATTGGACCTCTTACTGGGTGACCAGGTATTGGAAGTCATAGGATCCAGACTAATCACCCCTCTTCATTTTGGGGTTCTAGCTAGCAGAGAAGATACATAGAGTCTGCAGGGAACTAGGTATTAACACTGGTGTCATAATTCCCAAAGTTCTTTACGAATGTTGGGAGGTAGCCAAGCTGGGACGTCTTTCCATTCCCCGTCTTTGGCTATGTCGTCAGGAGAGACTAGTCCTTGGAGAAGGGCATCATGTTGGTCAAGTGGAAGGCCCTAGACAAAATGGACAGACACCGGGGCTGCAACCATGGGCTCCAACATCAGAGCGATTGTGAGACCGGCGCAGGGCCGGGCGGTGTTTCCGTCTCTTGCACACAAGGGCCCTATGAGTCGGAACCGTATCGATGCCCGCTAACAGCAACAATAACACTTCCCGCCCTAGACATTGGGAACCACATCAGGGGCAAGATGGATGGGATGTTTTTGGAGAATTAATTAGAATTAGGGTCAACCTCAGATAACACTGAAACAAGCTGCAAACATGACTCGTTCACACTCAAGAACTCCAGAGATGTGGTCAGTTCCGAGCTGGTAAGAAACGCCACCGTGTGGTTGCTGACTCAAGTCCCGTGTTTTTTTGTTCTGCTCTGTGACTTCCATTCCCAAGGGCTCCTCAACAGCCCAGGGGAGCTGCTAGCTCTTTGGTCATTAGTTGAAGCCCACAGTGAAGAGGATGGACGGTGAAGAAGGTGTGGTTCCACACAGAGTCAGCAGTTCAAAACCACCAGCCGCTCCTCCGGAGAAAGACAGTGTTTTCTACTCCTGTAAAGAGTTATACTCGGTCCAAGCTCACTCTGGTCCCCCTGTTCCGTTTGTGACCCCGGTCGCTTATCAAACCCCAATGGTCAAAATGGTGAAGCAGATTGATAGCAAGGAAGATTTTCAGGCCACCCTGAACAGTGCCGGAGAGAAGCTTGTAGTGGTTGACTTCTCAGCCACGTGGTGTGGGCCTTGCAAATGATCAAGCCTTTCTGTCATCCGGTCTGTGCAAAATAGGGCCATGTGGTCTTCCTTGAAGCTGATGTGGATGATTGCCAGGATGTTGCTTCAGAGTGTGAAGTCAAACGCATGCCAACATTTCAGTTTTATGAAAAGGGACAAAAGGTGGGGGAATTTTCTGGTGCTAATAAGGAAAAACTTGAAGCTACCTTTAACGAGTTGTTAATTATGCTTCCTGAAAACGTAACCAGCCATCAGCTGTGTAAACCTTTTTGTATTTACAAAAAAGAAGAATCACATATGAAGACTATAGACCCAACTACCATCTGATTATAAATGAGAATAAAATATAAGTTCCACCCTTTAAAAAAAAAAAGAGTTACACTCTTAGAAAATCACAGGGACAGTCCCACCGTGTCCTGTAAGGTTGCCGTAAGTCAGCATCGACTGGACGATGACAGTGAGTTTGGTTTGGGTTCTGGCCACAACTTGCTGTAAGGGAGGCTGGGACAAGTCTCCATTCTGGGCAACCAGGTGTCAGCTCACAGTTGGGGGTTCTGTTCCTAAGGATGAGAGGAAGACTGGCTAGGAAGGGAGAAGGAGAAGCCAGGGTCTGGCTTTAGAAGGAATGCGATCTTACCTTCTGGGGACATGGCTTAGTGGGTGTGAAGCTCTTACTAAGCTGATAAGCTACTGCTTCTCTCAAGGGGAGGATCTAGTAAGCAGAGAGAGAAGATTTATTGAGTAGAAATAGATACCACGCTGCTGCTGAGCTGATCCAATTCATGGGGACTCTTGAAGATGTTATATAACAACAGAAGAAGAGACTGTAGTCCTGTGTTACACTATCGACTGCTAGCACGGTCAAACCCATCACTGGTGGTGGTTGTGCTAATCCCTGGTACCAAGGTCCTCCCATGCCCTTACAGCTCCTCTGCTTCACCAGATTTGATGTCCTCCCTAGAAACTGGTCCCCAGGGATGGTGTTTTCAGAGCAAGAGAGTCAGACAGTGTTTTGTTGAAATCCATATTATTTCCATCTGCTATGTTTTGGAAGCTGATCACCAGGTCTTTCTTCCTGGTCTTAGTCGAGAAGCTCTGCTGAAACCTATTCACCACAGCCAAACCTGCTGGTATTTGAAATTCTACAGGCACAGCTTCGAGCATCACAGTAACCTGTGGGACTGACAGGTGGGAGGTGGTTATTGAGTCGAGTTGGGGGACATTATCAAAGAAAGGTGTTCTTAATGCATTCTCATGCATGACAAACAAGGGTTTTCTCCCACCACTTGGGCGCAGCGTGTGTGGCACAGGTCAAGTGCTCGGTGAATGAGCAGACTGGGACTCTCCCTGGGACTGCATCCCAGGTCTGAACACCCCAGTTTGCCTTAAACATTAGGCAGCCAAATTGTCAGCCTTGCTTCGTGCTACCCTCCTCCCCGATGCTCTCTGTTCAGGGCCAGGCTCCGATGGTACACCACCAACCAGATAGCTTGCCCCTGGCCTTTGGGTCCTTCCCTGGGCTGGATGCTGTCTCCCCTTCTGATCTGGGCCCTCTGAGTTTAGCTCTTTGAATGCACCCGACTGCACACTGCCCACCAAGCCCACTGTCCCTTTCTAGCGCTTGGCCTTCCAAGACCCTCCTGCCCCTGGGTAGCTGACATGCCTCTCTGCTTCTGTTCTCAGACCATCCAGGATCAGATTAAAAATCTGCAAGTGAGCAAGATGGATAAAAGTGAGGTGGAGCAGGAGTTGAAAGAGGTAAGTGGGCAGAGTGGGGTCTCCCTACTATCTTCCTCCTCCCTGCTGAGTGAGGCCTGGCTCCTCCACTTAGGACAACGGAAGTTTCCAGCAACAGCCGAACCAGGCCAAGAGCTTTCCAGAATCTCCTTTGACCTTTGCAAATGCAAGGAGGTTGGGGAAACTTCTCAAAAGTTATCCGACTGACTCCTATTCTCAGCGACTCAGGATTAATGACCTTTGCTATGTGGACTTAAAATCCATATGCCAACCACGCAGCGAGGGGAAGACTTGTCCTCAGGAACTTAATGATTTATAGACACATGTCACCTGAAGGTCGGGGTACCAGTGGCGCCTACTTCTGTAGCCCCACCTGCATCTGTGGTGAGTTTATCTGCCTCTGATCATGATTCTCTGAAGCCTTCCCTTCTTGTCTAGAATTAGTCCCATGGTTGGGGATTACCTAGAAGCCATCTTGGCCTCATATTGATTGCTTCTTTCATTCTGGGACAATTGTCTTTTGTATTGTCTTTGTCCTTTTGAAGGCTTAATAAAAGGGTCTCTAGAGAAGGGTGGGGGACACAAAAGAACTAGGTACCATTTGGAGGACATTTTGCAGAGTGAAGTTAATCACAAAAGGATTGTGTGAGACCACTTATCAAAGAAAAAAATCCAGAAGAAGATTTTCATACCAAAGAAACAAGCTTTGATGGTTACCCTGGGTGGGAGGGCAAGAGGAAGAAGCCCTGGTAGTTTAGTGACTTTGTGTTGGGCTGCTACCACAAGGTTGGCAGTTTGAAACCACCAGAAGCTCCTCAGGAGAAAGTCAGGTCTCTCTACTTTTGTAAAGAGTTAGAATCTCAGAAACCCACAGAGGCAGTTCTACCCTGTCCGACAGGGTCACTATGAGTCAGAATCAACTCAATGTCGGTGAGTTTTTGTTTTCTTGAGGAGTAGGAGGGAAGGGGAAGCAACAGGCTAGAAGAGGGTAGACAGGCATTAACCTGAAGACACTACTCTGCTAGAAGGAGGAGGGAAAAAATGTAAAGAGGTAGATCGAACAAGCTATTGGAAGACTGGAGAAGTTATTGGATGCAAAGATCTGAAATATAAGCTCCCACCTAGGTCATAATAAAAAGCATTTGGAAATAAAAAATAAAATTATTTTATTTTGTTCTATTTTGGGGGGGAAACCCCATGCACCAATACTGTATGATCTCATTTATATGAAACAAGCCAATATATAAAAAACAAGTTGTGAATTGGGAGGGGGCAAGGGGTTTGTGTTAATTGTGGTAATTAGGGACAAGCGTTGTAGCACAAGAAGAGTGTAGTGTAATCTATCACTGGATGCTCTGTGTAGCTACTGTGGAGTTGCTGAATGCTTTTGTTAATACATATTTTCACTCCAATAATTGTGTGTGTGTGTGTGTGTATATATATATATAATCTCCCATGCACTTACTTCTCCATCATAGGAAGAATTGATTTAGCTCTCAAAGTTGTGCTTGAGGGGGAGGGAGGGGACAAAAATGAAGAGCCGATATCAAGGACTCAAGTAGAAAGAAAATGCTTTGAAAATGATGATGGAGGGTGGGGGAGAAAATGATGATGGCAGCATATGGACAAATGTGCTTGACACAGTAGATGAATGTATGAATTGTGATAAGAGATGTAAGAGCCCCAATAAAAGTATTTAATAAAGTTGTGTTGGAGTCAATATTGACTTCAAAGTTGACTGAGCCAAGGCTGGACCTCCAAGGTCCCAAAGTAGAAAAACACGGTGACCGGATAGCCTGCCTCAGTCTTCCTCCCAGACACCCTGCCTCATGAGTTTCTTCTCTCTCTAGAAAGCCGACAGGATCACCCTGGCCCGCAAGGCAAGCCGGGTCGACCTGGAGACGTTGGCGGTGGAGCTGAAAGAAACAATGCACGGCCTGCTGCTCAAGTTCACAACCTACGAGGAAGACTGGAAGAAGGCCATCGAGGAGCTAGCCAAGGTTGTGAGCACAAAGGTGAGCTCCCTGCATCTGTTTGCTCTTCTTCTGTAACAAGCCGCACTGAAACGTCGCCACCGGATACAACAAACATTTGCTTCTGTGGGGGAAGAGTTTGGGAGCAAGAGTTCTGTGGGTCAAGCGTTTAGCTGGGTGTTTCTGGCGTGGGTTCTCCAAGAAGAGTGCAGTCAAGGTGGCCGCTGGGGCTGTCGTTATCTGAAAGCAGAGGATCCGCTTCCAAGAGGGCTCCCCCTGTGAAACGGAACCCTTCCTCGGCCTATGGACTCATTGAGTGCTGCTAGAATGGCCTCCAACGATGGTAGCTGGCTTCCCCATCGCGAGTAATCCAAGAAAACAAGACAGGTGCTGTGATGCCCAAAATCCATTGTCTCTGCAGTATCCTGTTGGTTACGTATGTTGGCTCTATTTGGTGTGGGAGGGCAATGCACCTGAGCATGAACACAAAGGGGGGTCTGATTGGCACTCCATTACCCCACTGGATTTCTCATAGAAACCACAAGTGTGAAGATGAAGAGCACACTGTTAGGAAGGTCAAGTTCAGGACAGGAGAGCACTAGACTAAGCAGGAGTCCTTTTGAGTGGGGGCTCTGGCCAGAGTACCAAGTGCTGCCGCCAGGGGAGGGCAGAGGAGGCTACGCATCTCCACGAGATCTCCTAGCGCTTAACTTGCTGTGCCACCACAGCCATTTTTTAGGCGGTTGTGCCTCCTGTTCTGGAGCAGGACAGAGAGTGACTGATGGACGGCACTCTCTTTCCTTGCCGGGGACAACCCCCAGCTAGTCCACAGTGACCTGGACGGCCTGAAGAAAGAGATGGCCGAGGTCTGGGAGATGATCAAGAGGCTCCTGCTCGAGGGTTTCCGCTTCGACCCGGACAGTGCCGCGGGCTTCCGGAAGTGAGTGCTCAGAGACCCTCCGGCGGTTCTCAACCTGTGGGGGGGTCAGACGACCCTTTCACAGCGGTCCCCGATTCATAACTATAGCAAAATGACAGTGATGAAGTAGCAACGGAAATCATGTTATGGTTGGGGGGTCGCCACCACATGAGGAAC